TCTTTGGAAGGAAGTGCTATGTACATCCCACACTTATGGGGTTGGGAGTTATGTTCCTCCTCCTTGAGGGTGGAGTAGCTACATAAATTATTTGAATTCCTCCGCATGGGAAATTTGTCTTTAATTTCCCATTGATTTATTTAATCACTATATCAATAAGGACTTGTGGATATTTAATTTATATTTTAGGTTATAGTCAAATCCTTCTCTGTTGCTACAATTGTTCTATCTTTAGCCACTGGGAGTTCCTTCAGTTGGCCCCGTGTTCCTTTGACATGCCCATAAATGTGTTTTGTTTGGGTTCTGATTCTGGTTTTGGTTTTTAGCATCTCCTTATTATCTGGCACTGCAAGATGCTCCCAGCTCATCTTGTACATTTTTACTCCAATCTTAGAATCAGTCACTTCTCCAAGAATCCCTGGTTTCCTTTATTGAAGAACTGTACTAGAAACCAAGATCTGGACACCAAGATTGGCTCATTTTTACAGCATCAAGTCTTTCAATCTATGAATACATATCTCTCCATTTATTTAGATCTTCTTTGACTTTTTTCATCGGTTTCGCAACTTCTTCATGTAGATTCTGTTCAAATTTTGTTAGATTTATACCTATTTCATTTTGGAGGGGTTGTTGCTTTTTAATTTCAAGTTCCAGTTCTGCCCTGCTGCTGTATAGGAAGGCAATTGACTTCTGCATGTTAACCTTATATCACAAGGCCTTACTATAATTGTTTATTAGTTTAGTGAGGGTCTTTTTTGGTACATTTTTGGGGATTTTCTAGATAGATATTCATGTCATCTATAAATGGTTTTATTTCTTCCTTTTATTTGATTTTTAAATCTTATTGCACTGGTTAGAACTTCCAGTATAATGGTGAATATATGGGTGTGCTTTGTATATTTCTTACTTTCTGAGTTCTGTTACTCATCCTCAAATATTCATTTTTGAATCATTTTCATGTTGTTCTTCAATATTTTCTATTATTTAAAATTTGCTGTTTTGAAATACTGCATTACCGTTTTCATCCACTTTTTTTTTTTTTTGGCTTCATATTCTTTTTTCTATTATAGCAACTTTAAATGAAATTCGACCACGATCCTTTTCTGTGGTGCATTTTTGGCTAATTAAGTTATGCTGTATTTTTAAGAGGGAGGATTGGGTAGAATAGCTTTTCCAGTTTCATGGCTCTAGAGGTTCCTTTTCTAGTATTTCATAAAATGACACACATGTGTCTTTATATTTTCTGAGATCTGTCTCCTCTCTATTCTCCACTTTTATCTGCATCTGCTTTTTTCTTGGCCGCATTGTCTCTGTTTTGTTCAATTTGGATTCAACTTTCAGCAGTTTCTCCTTAGTGTTGGGCTACGTTCAAGAATGGAGATCCAGTTTGTTGGTTTTGAGACTTCACAGGCCTCACGTCCCTCCAGCAGCTTCAGACCCTCCTGCTCATTCCTTCACACTTAGCTGAGCTTAGAGTCAGATGAACAACCTGCCAGTTTTGCCGCCAACCTCACATTGGTTTCCTCTGTTTTTTAGTGATTATTTGTTTGGCAGTTTTGGGGCCTTCCCATTCTGAGGGTCTTCAGATGATCTGTTGTTTTCCCACCACTCTCTCCTACACAGTTGCCGATATTAAGTTGGGTTTGCTCCTTCCTGTTCACATTGTGAGGTTTGTAGGGATTCCTTTTCACCTAGTTATGTTATAGCTATCTTCTGGGATTGTTATTTTCTATCCTAGATGCTTTACCTGTTTTTATGAGGAGATTCAGGAGGTTCACAGACTACACTGCCTCTCCAATCATCTTCCCAGAGTCTTCAATATTCATGTACTACTTGGGAGGATATGAGTAATATGTATGTATATGTAAATGTACAAATACATTTTAAACTTTTTTTCTGTATTTTTGGAGTCGGTCGAAATGCAGGTTGAAATGATTATAGATGAGTGGTCGATTCTTCCTTTTAGCTACCTTTCAAGTCGTGTTTAAAAATGGGTTTCTTTTTGGCTTTCCTAGACTGAAATTAAAGTACTCACAAGTGTTATTCTACTTCCACATCTCCTCACTCACAACTTGCTGAAGAGTATCCTAAGACTTAAAATCAGAATTAAGCTTAAAATAATGAAATTTGTAATGATTGCCCAATATTTTGAAATCAAAGTTATGGAGGGGTTCATAATCATAGTTATTACTGTATTTTTATATTCTAAAGTTCCAGTTCTATCTGTGGCCTCCTTCTTATTCTACCAACTAGGGTCCAATTTAACAAACTGGTTATCAATTGTCTGAATATGGCCCACAGACATATTTTATTTAGTCTGCTCAGTATTTTAAAACAAACTAAATAGCTGCCAACACTTTAAAACCAGATTTCCTATTTATGGCTGCTCTTAAAAAAATGATGCCATTAGGCTCATATTCTGGTGTCATTAGGCTCATATTCTCTCTTGGAACTTGCACCCTGATTAAAGAGGAAATGCACTCTCAGTTTTGTAATACTTTGCTTCCAGACGCTTCTCTCATTTGCTACCTTCCAGTCCCCGTAGATAGTATGCATTTGTAACCCACGGAGTAGTATCTCTTTGAGTTCAACCTCTTATATTGGCTTAAACTACAAGTATGTGCTCATTCTTTTTAAAATCTGTTTCTACTCACATGTCCTGCAGACTCCCCAGAATCTACATATTTTAAAACAAAACGATTTTTTCAAAACCTATTTTTCTTCCAGTATTCCCTAAATGACCTCGGTAATGTTACTGCATTGCTACAGTTGTCCAAGTCAGAGAAGCCCTTAGGGTTTTTATCTCCTCCTTCTTCCTCATTCTATCCACAGCTTTTCAGTCATGTGCAAAACTATGACACGCTTCTTTGCTTTCACTGTTCCCAAATCTTAAACTTCTTTACTGTTCTGACACCTGTACAACTCCTACTTACTTTCCAAGATGAAACAAAATTATTTAATCTCCAAAACTATGTTTTGCCTCAAGGAGCATTTAGTCGCTTCTTTCAAAGTACAAGCATCTCAAGTACATGTTGTATTTATTTACTGCTGGCTCCCCTATTAGATTAAGGATTCCTTAAGGACATCCTTAAGGATGACAGTCATTTCTGTATCACCAGTACTAACACAAAAAGTATAGAACTCGATACATGTGTCAAATAAATAAACACATAAATTTTACAAATCAATGAAAATATTGTTTCATATGATTTCACCTTCTTAAACTTTCCATGTTTCAATTTTTTGTTAAATTGACTTTTTTGCTGGTGCTTTTTTGGTGCTTACTTTGGATTAATACTAGAATCATTTTAAATTTTGCACCAAGTGACTACAAAGTTAAATGTCCATGTCAAAATAAAATTTATTGACTTCATTATTAGAATATGAAGTGTTTTTGTTTGTTTTTTTGTTTTTTTTGTTTTTTTGCTTTAAAACTTTGCTTAAAATATCTAAGGATGCCAGGTATTAACTCTGAAAAAAATGTATAATTATTTATAAAACAGATCCCATAGAAGCAACTGAACAGCTGTGGAAAGATTTGGCACATTACTTTGCCAGCCTGAATTTAATGACCTACATGTGAAGGGCTACATATCCAATTACTAATCCTCCCTCAGCTACTCTTTGCCCTGATATGGAGGCAGCTGAAAAAAGATGCCCTACTAACAGATCAGAAGTGGATCCAGACTTTTTTGCTAGTGCTTAGTTAACAAAGATCTTTTAGGTTTGAGATGAGGAAGAAACAGAAGAGGGACTCACAACAGTGTTATAGCTGGCATAGTGTTTCAAGTAAAATTTAAGGGCTTATGGCAAGACTGTAGTTTTGTAACTAAAGTCAAAGAAATTTCGGCTCTTTTAGAGAACCTCAAATTCTGGATTTAATTTTCTATTCATTGAAGCCTTTAAACATGTTCAAATACCTTCAAGCATCAAGGATAATTTACTTCAAAATTATTTCTATATGAGAAGCCAGTCTTCTATTCAAAGATGCAAACCTCATTCTTATCTTCAAATTCTGCAATAATCACCTATTAGAAGTAGAGGGAAAAAAACTAAATAGAAAATGACAATCTATGGGATTGTGTTTCATTTCTCTCTCAGTTGACATGGTCTATATATAGCAAAAAGATTATATAAGGTCAAGTATTATAAACAATGAAATGTCATCTGATGTTCTGCAAAACAGCATAGGCAAAATAGCTCAAGGAATGAATAAAGAGTAAAGTTATGGCTGTTTTACTTCAGCCATAAAAAAGCCTTACAGATTCTAAATTTAAATGCATTTTATTGTGAATCTAACTCACTTTTCGAATTTAATTTTCTACTTGAGCTATGTAAAAATCATGTGATATGGTAATTTGCTGTATAAATTAAAAATAATATAGGCAAGAGATGCGTTTCATTTTGAACACAGACAAATTACAAGCCTTTCTTCGTTATTTTGCATTTTTAACGGTGGGACTATCTTAATTCCTCCACCCAATACTCACAAGAATATATGAATGAATAAATACACGTCTGCAGGTACACACTTACTTCTTGAACGTGAAAAAACAGACATCACTGTAACTACCTCCTACTCCCAAAACCCTAACTCTACACCCCGCCCCGCATAAACCCCTCCCCTTTCTCCCATTACGGGTTCTAAATTGGCGCAGTTCGATGACGTAAGACGCAACCGCCGTAGCCTCCACTGTGTAACTACCGCCCCTGCCTCTGGGAATTGAAGTTTCTGTGGAAGGAAGCGTGAGCGGTAACCAGGCCAACCTAGAAAGGCTTTCTTTCTGAGATTTCACTTCCCTATCAACTCCTCATCTCGGTAAGTGTCCTGCACTGGCTGGCGCTCCCCCGCACTATGATATTATTTGGGCGCAAAGGGGTGCGTGCCATGCAGCCCCCGACTACCAACAAGGGCTTCCGGGGTAGAGGGGAGCAGTGGTGTGGAAGTGGTTGCCTGCGGCGCTGTTGCCGAAGGAAATGACGTCGTTGATAGGCGCCTCCCGCGGCCTACCCAGCTGCTTCCTGGTTCGCCAGCAGCAGCTTAATCCCGCCTCTGAAATGCGTTCGCTGGCTGGGAGCGTAGAAGGGAGAGTGGGCGAGGCTCCGCCCCTGTGGTTGTGCGCTCTTCGTCGGCGTGTGTTTTGGGGTTGCCATCGGCCCGTAGTATGTTAAAAGTGAGTTTGCAAAGAATGAGAGGGAAATCTGTACTCTAAAGGGCCGGAAAGCGTGTTATGACCCTGCCACTTCGTGGCCAGAGACCGTGGGCGTTACCTCTTTAAAGGTGCCTTACCTCATTTTTCCTGCGAAGGGCTGACGTGACTGAACCCTCTGAAATGTAGAAAGCCCGAGGGGAGATTGCTGCAGGTGCTGTGAGCTGAGGACAGTTTTAAAAAGATCGAAGTGTTACTTGATTTCACTGAACTACTTTAAATTTTGGGAATTTTTCTAGAGATATAAAGAGGATGGCGACACGTTACTTGTCACTTTCTGAATCTCCTCTGCCCCTTGCATTCCCAACCCTCTGCTCAAAAGGCTTGACAACTGAAGTGAACAAAGGGCTTTTCGCTGCTCCACGTTTAGCCAGCATGTCTTTAAAAAAGGCATTCCTGACCAGGCGCGGTGACTCACGCCTGTAATCCCCGCACTTTGGGAGGGTAAGGCGTGTTGTAGATCACCTGAGGTCAGGAGTTCGGGACCAGCCTGACCAACATGGTGAAACCCTGTCTCTACTAAAAATACAAAATTAGCCGGGCGTGGTGGCGCATGCCAGTAATCCCAGCTAAGGAATCTGAGGCAGGAAAACTGCTTGAACCCGGAAGGCAGAGGTTGCAATGAGCCGAGATTTTGCCACTGCACTCCAGCCTGGGCGACCTAGCGAGACTGGGTCTCAAAAAAAAAAAGAAAAAAAAAAAAAAAAAAGGACATTCTTTTGCTATTGCTGTCAAGTCATTAATTCTAATCTGCATTATTCCCACATTCGTTGAGATTTTTCTGAAAGGGAGACTGTCATAAATTACGACGAATATTTATTTTATCCCAATCCATAAATTAATGCCGTTTTAAAAAACTTTTTTATTTCTTTTGGTGCTCATTGATTTAGGATGTATCCTCCTTGCCTTAAGCTGTGCTAAGATATGTAAATACAATGTAAGATAGTTTGTAAGCCCACCTGATAACCTATATCGGCAAATGAACCCTACAGATTTTTAAAATTTTATGCAAAAGTAAAATTTCACACACACACGCACACACACACACATATAGGAGGCGAAGTCTTGCTCTGTTGCCGTTGCTGGAGTGCAGTGATGCGATCTTGGCTCACTGAAACCTCTGCCTCCCAGGTTCAAGGGATTCTTCTGCCTCAGCCCCCCGAGTAGCTGGGATTACAGGCGTCCACCACCACGCTTGGCTAATTTTTGTATTTTTAGTAGAGACGAGATTTCGCCATGTTGGTTTCGAACTCCTGACCTCAGGTGATCCGCCCACCTCGACCTCCCAAAGTGGTGGGATTACATGCATGAGCCACTGCGCCCGACCTCACACAAATATTTTTATAGTTACTGTAAAATACATTCTTGAACATTTGTTGAACTTGGTTGAATGAATGAAAATGTACGGTGAGCATCACTGCATGTGAGAAAGGAATGAACAACTGCCACAGAATTTTATAAATTATTGTCCAAACTAAAACGATTAGAAAGCAAGTATACCTAATAAAATGCTATGTTTTGCTTAACATTCAATCTGAACACGCTGGTACATAGTGCAGTGTAGATATACATTATACTTATTGTATAGTGTAGACAGTGCGAGTTGGTAGATATCTTTGTAAAGTATACTATAAGGAATAATTTATAAGATAGCAAGCTGGCATCATTTTTGTTGCATTCCATTTGTCTCAGTGCACCTGGCTTGTTTAAAGCCTGAAAACTTCACTTAGTACAGTGTGTTTTCTTAATTAGGAATAGTTTTTAAAAAGATGATGGTGATGATGAAGATGAAGATGTTGACCAGCTCATCACCTTTCCTTGTATTTGGGAGACTGAAACATTGCTATACTATGACAGGTGAAATTAAATTTAACTGCAGACTTCTTGGATAGGAAAAGCAAATGCTCCCCCTGGTGTACATAAACTGTAAAACATTGATTGCTTTTTAAAAAGTCTTCACGTAGGCCGGGCCTGGTGGTTTTTGTCTGTAATCCCAGCACTTCAGGAGGCCGAGGCGGGCGGATCACGAGGTCAGGAGTTCGAGACCAGCCTGACCAACGTGGTTAAACCCCCTTCTCTACTAAAAATACAAAAATTAGCCAGGCATGGTGGCGCGCGCCTGGAATCCCAGCTACTCAGAAGGCTGAGGCAGTGGAATCGCCTGAACCCGGGAGGCGGAAGTTGCAGTGAGCTGAGATCAGGCCACTGCACTCCAGGGTCAGGAGTTCGAGACCAGCCTGACCAACGTGGTGAAACCCCTACTGTACTAGAAATACAAAAATTAGTCACGCATGGTGGTGCGCCCTTGGAATCCCAGCTAGTCAGAAGGCTGAGGCGGTGGAATCACCTGAACCCGGGAGGCGGAAGTTGCAGTGAGCCGAGATAGGGCCACTGCACTCCAGCCTGGGCCACAGAGCGAGACTCTGTCTCAAAAAAAAAAAAAAAAAAAAAAATCTTCACATAGAAGTAATCAACATGTGCAGTTTTTGAATAAAATAGAGAATTAACTGAAAATAATGCCACTGATAAACAGAAATGTGCTCTCTTGGAATATTATTATTTCGTGAAGAGAGCAGTTTGTTTTCTGTGAATTTTAATTGTGCTTTTAAGTTTCCTCCACCCGGTATTGTTTTGGATACCTGCATTGCTGAATTTTATCTAATGTATTGTGTATTGAAAGAAAGGAAAATAAAAGTGATCCAGGGAATCAAAATATATATTTTAAAAATTTTTTTCCATGTAGTCTTTTTAGGCTTATTCAGTTTCCCTACCTCCAGTTTCTTAAACTGAGTGCTTACCTTACTTTCTAGCTTAAAAAAAAAAAAAAAAAAAAGTGCATTCAAGGCTGTATGTTTATCTCTAATTACCTTGTTTTCCTTTATCTCTCTCATTCTGTTATCCAAGTCTTTACTACTCCTCCATATTGTTTTTCTGTTCGATTTTTGTCTGCTTATTCAGTTTCCCTACCTCCAGTTTCTTAAACTGAGTGCTTACCTTACTTTCTAGCTTAAAAAAAAAAAAAAAAAAAGTGCATTCAAGGCTGTATGTTTATCTCTAATTACCTTGTTTTCCTTTATCTCTCTCATTCTGTTATCCAAGTCTTTACTACTCCTCCATATTGTTTTTCTGTTCGATTTTTGTCTGCATCCTGAGTCAGATTGTCAGGATGTCTTCTAAGTCATCAGTTACTTCTTGGGACTCCAGGTAATCTGGAGTTTGCCTCTTCTATTGAAGTTTTTATGTCTTCATTTCCTAGTTTTCAAATTGTTCTTTTTCTCAGATTCTTGTTTTACTTTTTAGTAAAGCCTGCTTTTATATCACAATTTTCTGTTTTGTTCTTATAGTTATTATTCCCTTGTGACCTCTCTGAAATGTTTCAGCCAAATTTATTTTAAAGTCATTTTCAGATTGCCCTATTTTTAATTTGTATCAAGTGAATTTATTTCCTGGTTATTGATTTCAGTTTTAAAAATCAGTTCTGTCTTTTCATAGTCTCCCTCATTCTACAGCATTAAAGAAGACTATAGAAAAGATGCTTTTCATCTCTTTTTAAAATTTTTTGTTTTATTAAAAACATTTTCATTACATAACTTTAGAAAATGTAGAAAACCATGGGTAAGAATTAAACTTGTGTGTGTATACCTTTTTTAAAAAGTTGGTCGTAACGTATATATTGTTTTATTTGGTTTTATTTAACGTATAACCGTTTCCCCTTACTAAGTAATTTTGGATATATATGTTTTACTGGCTGCTTAGTATTCCTTGCCCATGTTATAGATTAACCATAATTGTTTAGTTTCCTTTCACTGACATTCAGGAAGTTTCTAACTTTTCACTGTTTTTTAACACTGCATTCATTGCATGTACTCTTGTGCACATTTTTGTGTGCGTGTCTGATTTATTTACAGAAATTTAAGGAAATAAATTACTGGGTCAAAGGGTGTCTAAATAGAGATTTTAAAGCTCTTAAAACATGTATGTCTTGCCTTCTGGAAAAATTGTACCATGACCACTAATAGTATATGAAAAACCCCATTTCTTTAGACCTTTGCTAGCATTGCTGATGAATGATATTTAATTTATATTAAATGGTATTTAAATGATAGTTACCAATAAATGACATTTATTTGTCTAAAGTTTTATTTCTATTTATTGTATGGTTTAACTTTAATCATATTGATTGAGTTTTTTAACTTTTTTGTGCTTGTAAATTATCTGTTCATGTCAAAAGTTGTTTTTCAGAGGCACCAAATAATGTCATCTGAAATGTTGCCAGCATTTATTGAAACGTCCAACGTTGACAAAAAGCAAGGCATAAATGAACATCAAGAGGAAAGCCAGAAGCCAAGATTAGGTGAAGGGCGTGAACCAATATCTAAACGACAAATGAAAAAACTAATAAAACAGAAACAATGGGAAGAGCAACGGGAACTCCGCAAGTATGTGTTTCAAATGTATATGCTCTCTTCCTATTTAGAAATATGGAATGTTAGACCTTGCATAGCCCTTTGGCATATTTTTGTTACTTAAAATTCATTTACTAGTTTTAGACAAAAGCAGAAAGAAAAACGCAAGAGAAAAAAATTGAAGCTAAAAATGTATATTGTTAGCTAACACTGTCAACTGGCTGTTAAGACTATTTTTTAACATTATTATTGGGGTATCTTTTAGCACTGTTGATGATCTTGCACTCAACACTTTTTCTCATGCAGAACCTTATTATGAGTAGCAGCACAATTTTTGAAACAACTGACTTAGATAAGGGATGTAATTAGTGTCCATGTGCTAGTTATGGAATAAAAACAGCCAACTCAGAAAGATCAAGTTTTGGCCTAACATTGATTTTGTCACAAGAACCATTGCAGGTTTTGGTGAAAGCAATTAGTCTAAATTTGTTACTATGATAAATGCCAAAGTTTGTGGAGAGAAAATAAACTATAGTTGGTATAAATTAGAGCAAAAGTATGTAATTTTTTTAATGAACAATTTTATTTTGCTTTTTTCTGTACCTTATAAATGTGGCTTAAAAATCATCTAGGTGAATTATGAAAGTAAAATTCAATACAACTCAAACTCAGTATTTAGAGGGTTTTCTTAGGGATAATATGATACCAATAACAAATGAAGCTCTTCAGGTAGTATAGTTAGGATTTAGACAGAAAGCTTTAGATTATTTTTGGAAGCTTATTTCCTTCCTATCTGAAGCTTTTAGATGTACTGTATAAAACTGCTAATACTTGACCATTTTTGAATGGTCACAGAAGTGACAATTTCATATGGCTTAACTTGATGGTTTTTAGAAGTAATTGTTTATATAGAAGAGTTGTGAATAACTGAATATACAATAACAAAATGTTATTTCAATTACTAATTTTAGACAAAAGCGGAAAGAAAAACGCAAGAGGAAAAAATTGGAGCGACAATGTCAAATGGAATCAAACTCAGATGGAAATGACAGAAAACGTGTTCGAAGAGATGTTGTTCATAGCACCCTTCGCCTTATTATTGACTGTAGTTTTGATGACTTGATGGTATTAAAGGTATCATGAATCATTGTCAGAAAAATCTTGTATATGAATTAGATCAAATCATTTTTGTTTTAATATGTAATATCCCTTTTATATAAATTTGTGTATTGAAATGAATCTTAAGTTTTTCAAAATTTATTTCCCCTAAGTTAAATTAGCTAGCAAATTGCATTGATATAATAAATATGTATATTTATATGTGTGTGTGTCAGTATGTGTGCAGACAGGAAAGAGAGACACACACACTTCACAATCTAGATGACAGAACTAAATTAACCACTTATTAATCATAAAGATCTGCGGGGTTTTACCAGTGTTGTTGGTAAAACATGAAAATAGTAATATGGCTCTGAAAGTCTTTTGTTGTTGTTGTCTCTTAAGACAGTAACTGTTTTCATGAACTAGCATTTTAAATAAATACAAAATATGTAATAATGGGTCACTTACAGAGCATTAACTTACAGTAATTTTGTTAATGTAAGGAAATCAAATAACATTTATCAGAATGCATTTGTATTTAAGAAGAAAAATTGTATGTATATAGTCATCCCTTCTGCCTATTCCATTCCTTTAAGATTGTGGAATGGCCATAGACAATTTTAATAACTTTGCTTTAAAAATTGACTCTGTAATAGGACATTAAGAAACTTCATAAGCAGATTCAACGATGTTACGCAGAAAACCGACGGGCACTGCATCCTGTGCAGGTATGTCTGAAGATTTTAAAGCAGACTCTAGTTTTCTTTTATATCTTTTGTGGCAAAAGACATAGATAATTCCTATAGTCTTTGCAGGAGTCTTACAGATAATCTTTTTTAATGCCTATTTGAAAAATGTTTTCTTTTTTGACAAAAATAAAGCAAAATATTTTAAACATCTTTTAATATGTTATCTTAGACACACTGTTTCCAGTAATCATCAGTCTTACACAAATTGGCCTTTTCATTGCCTGTAGTTGAATATCTTCTTTATGGGACGTACATATATTTTTATACCAGTTTCTCAGTTTACAATTACTTCCAGTGTGGGAGAGAGATTGGATGGAGAGGCAGAAGCTGTGGCTGCCACCGCTTGATATATGCTGTGGTATCTGTTGTATAGGTTTTGTCTACTTAAAGGTTTTTAGTTTTCTTTTGAGTCACTGAGAGTTTTGTCAAGTCTTTTTTAAGCTGAGATGAGGGAGTGATTTGGGAGACTATTTGGCTACTGTTAAGAATAACATCTTTGTGTTGGAATTCTAGGTGACCTAAAAATTAATACTGGCTCACTGATGTTAAGAACCAGGAACTGTTAATATATTTTGGTTAGATATTATGTTTTTACCAAGTAATAGTAATTTTAAATTTTTGTATTTTGTACTTTTTGTTTTATAGTTTCATATCACACTTCTGTGATAGTCCTTTTATCCCCATTTTTATCTGTAGTAGACCCCTTCTCACCTATGATTCAAACTTAAATAGGTATCAGGGTTTAGGATCAAAGAAAAATTATGAAGACTTTATATTGTTTAAAAAAAAAAGAGGACTGGGAACTTGACATGGAAGCAGGGAATTTGCAGACAAGTGATGATTAAGGTATAGCCATGTTATAACTACTTGGAATGAAAATGTAAATGGGATACTGCAGCTACTGGGTTATGAAGCATGCACACGAAACATACTATTTCTGCCCCAGTTTATTGTATGTTCAAAGCATGTCACAAATTTTTTTTTCTAGGTAAATGAGAATAAATATATTTTGTGTTTCATTGATCATCACATGAGTAGATGAGAGAAATAAAACATTAGACTTAAATGGTCATATGTTCTCTCTTTCTATACCTACAAATCTTTTATCAGTTTTACTTGACAAGCCATGGAGGCCAGCTGAAAAAGAACATGGATGAAAAGGACAAAGGATGGGTCAACTGGAAGGTAATTAAAACAGATAAACTCACATAATTCCAAGTATTTTTATGTTTCTAAAGGTCTACATTTTGTACCTAAACTCTATATAATGCTACTTAATGCAACAATCTCCAGATGCAATCTCTGAACCTAAGTCTAAGATTACAAATCAGAGATGCTGAAGAAGGGAGTGAGATATCTGGTAGCTTGTATTTGTTCTCATTAAATCTTACCTATTTTATGGTCAACTTTTAAAACATATTTTTAAAAAGAAATAATTTTAACGGCCTTCATATAATTTCTCCCTGGCATACTAGCTATACATTATATGTTACCTATAAAAATGAAGTCTCTCTAAATTTTGGAAGTGTGCCTGCATTCTGTTTCTTCTTACCCTGTGCTGGCCACTAACTGCATGTGGCTGTTGAACTTGAAATATGACAGTCTGAATTGTGAATTGAGATGTCCTATGAATGTGAAATACATACAGGATTTCAAAGACTCAGTACCACAGAAGAGAGAGGAAGAATGTGAATATCTCCTAGATAATTTTTGAAACATTTATTATATGTTCAAATGATAAAATTTTGGGTATACTGTGTTAATAAAATAAATTGTTAAAATTAATTTCACCTATTTTCATTTTTAAAAATGCGGATACTAGAATATTTAAAATTGCGTATGTGGCCTCACAATTTTTTCTATTGGACCAAATTGTTCTCAGTCATTGGTAAAGGTGACTAAATAGATTGGCTTTGGTACTAGTCCCTGAGGAACTTGATCCTATTTAGAGAAGTACTGGGTTATCCCTATACCTTTTTTCTTTCTCAAAGTCAGTTCTCTCAGTGACACATTTTCCCTTTCACACTCACTAATTCCATAACGAAGGCATTTATTTTATTAATAGCCTATGATATGAAACATTTTCAAAGGCTTTTAAGTTTTTAAGTACAATATATTTATCAAATCCTACATTTGTACCTGGTTTTCCAAGAAGTAGTGTAATAAATTAAAAGAGGCATGTTTTTAGTTATTTTGCAACTTGTTAAATTTATCATTTATACCATCAGCTTTCCAGAGAGACTTGAGATTAATTGGTCTGTAATTAATCAGGTTCTTCTTGGGGCCTTTATTAAATTTATAATATAACATTTTCCAGAAAAGTGGCTATTTATTAATTATACATTTTAGGAGAGAGTTCTTTTGCTTCATTCTTGGTTTCATTAAAAATTATGGATAAATGTCATCTGAGCCTGGTAATACATCTTTTATGCAATCAATGTGGCTTACAAAATCATGACTGCCAGCTGTTGTTCAATTTTGTACCTGTGACCTGACAATTTTGGTGAAGAAGTTTTCAAATGTGTGTCTCTTTGTAGAAACAGATACATGGATTTTGAGACGTAGTCTCTTGTACTGTCACCCAGGCTGGAGTGCAATGGCACGATCTCGGCTCACTGCAACCTCTGCCTCCCGGATTCAAACAATTCCCCATCCTCAGCCTCCTGAGTAGCTGGGATTACAGGCACCTGTCACCATGCCCAGCTAATTTTTATATTTTTAGTAGAGACGGAGTTTCACCATGTTGACCAGGCTGGTCTTGAACTCCTGACCTTGTGATCCACCTACCTCAGCCTTCCAAAGTGCTGGGATTACAGGCATGAGCCACCGCTCCTGGCCAGCTATTTCCCTTTCATGATTCATATAGATGGAGAGGAAGTAATTGGAGAAGGCATTCTTTGGTCGTAGAACAATGTAAACAAATATGTGGCAGTAAAAATGCATTTGTTTTGTTGGAACCGGAAATAAAGCTGGCAAAGTAGATTAGTGCTATATTCAGGAAAGAGTTTCTAAATTAAGGAGTTTAGATTTTATCCCACAGAAAAAGATAAAACGTTAAAAGTAGTGTTTTTAGAGCTTGCTATCAGTGTGTGGAATTAGGTTGGAGGGGTTTAAGGCCAACAACGAAGAAACAAAATTAAGAGGCTATTTAAATGATCAAAATGTGAGATTATAAGAAATTGATGTAGTAAATTCAAAATAATGCATTGTAATTATATTCTTTCAAACTTTGTTTCATATGTTTTTGACTGGATTTGTTTTGGGAAAATAGAATAATCATTTTTAGCCAACTTTCATAAGGTCCTATTAATTAGTAATCTCTTTCCCCATTGTCTTAAAGGATATCCATATCAAACCAGAGCACTATAGTGAACTCATAAAAAAAGAAGACCTGATTTATCTTACATCAGATTCACCTAATATACTGAAGGAATTAGATGAATCAAAGGCCTATGTGATTGGAGGATTAGTAGATCACAACCATCACAAGGTACTATTAAATTTTTATTTTTGCTTTTGCTTGTACTTAAAATTGATACATCACCATTTCCTGAAAGTAACAATGATACTAACAATAGCTGATGTTTATTGAGTGCCTACTATACGTCAGTCACTTTTTGAGCTAAACAAAGTATTTCACATATATTAGCTTGCTTAATCTTCACTACAACCCGGTGAGATTAGTGCTATTATTATCTCCATTCCACAGGTAAGGAATTCACAGCACAGAGAAATTAAGTCTAAAATCAACAGTAGTAGATGACAGAGCAGCTATTTGAAACCAGGCCGATTGCTCTGGAGTCCATCCACATGCTTAAATGCTGTGCTTTATTGATAGAAGAATCTGCTGCTAATCAGTTGCTAAGCCGTTAGAACTTAACTAGTTTTTAAATATGTTATTTTCATGGGATGTTTTTTCTATTCTCTTTCATTTGTACTTTTCTCTCTTCCCATCCATACCTTTATTTGGATGAAAAATTACAGAAAAGCACTTTCTAAAAGAAAATGTCATTTTGTACTTCGCCAGTTACATTGCAGCATGCAAAATTCTTCATATCTGCTTGTCCAGTATGTTAGCTCTGTGGCTGTTGAGCACTTGAAATGTGTGCAGTATGACTGAAGAACTGAATTTTTAAAATTGTAATTAATTTAAATTTAAGTAGTCACACATGGCTACCAATTGGACAGTTGCAGCTCTATTGCATCATAGGGAATTTTATCAGAATGATCTTTAGCCTTTTTATTTTTTTCTTTGTGGAAAAATTCTATTTTGTTATTTATATAGAACCACATTCTTTCTCATGTTTATGTTTCTCTGAACTAAAACAATTTTGTTTTCAAAAGCACCTGCTTCAATCTATTATTATTTGCGCCCCCCAAGTATACAAACCATCAGTTGAGAAATTGAGCTTTTCTTTCTCCTGTACTCTGTTTTTTGACCATTTCAGTTCTGGTTAGACATAGGCTTCAAAGATTTTAATTTTGAGAAGAGATGAAATTCATATTCTGTATTTTTTTAATTGACAGGGAAAAATAAAACTTATAGTCAGTTATTTAAAATTTCTCAATTCAAGTTTTCATTTAACTTGTCTTTGCCATTTGTGCAAAGTAGTGTTATTGGAAATTTAATTTTTTTTTTTTACATTTATGGGAATAATGATGGTGATTCTATAGGAATTCAGTTTAAGTATAGTCATATGTTGCTTAACAATGGGAATATGTTCTGAGAATTACATCATTAAGCGATATCAATATTATAGAGTGTACTTACAGACGGTACTTACTAGACGGTATAGCCTACTACACATAGACTGTATGGCATAGCCTATTGCTCCTAGACTACAAATCTATACAGAATGTTACTGTACTGAATAGTGTAGACAACTGTAACATAATGGTCTTTGTGTTTCTAAACATATTTAAACATAGATGTTATAAAAGATTTTAAAAATACAGGTTATACGTGGTATACATGTGTAGAGCACTTACCATGAGCGCTGCTTACACAACTACACGTTGCTCTAGGTGAGTCAGTAAGTGAGTGGCAAATAAATGTGAAGACCTGGATATTACTGTACACTACTGTAGACTTTATAAGTACTGTACACTTACTCTACACTAAATTTATTTAAAAATTTTTCTTCAATAATGAATTAACCTTAGCTTACTGTAACATTTTTACTTTATAAACTTAATTTTTTAAACTTTTGGACTCTTTTGTAATAACATTTAGCTTAAAGCATAAACACATTATACAGCTGTACAAAAATATTTTCTTCATATATCCGTATTCCATAGGCCTTATTCTATTCTTAATTTTTTAACTTTTTAAAATTAAAAAAAAAAATCCTCTTTATTTTTTAACTTTCTAAACTTTTTCGTTAAAAACTAAGACACAAACACACACATTAGCCTAGGCCTACATAGAGTCAGGATCATCAAAATCACTGTCTTCTACTTCTACATCTTGGTCCACTGGAAGGTCTTTAGGGGTAATGACATGCATGGAGCTGTGATAACAGTGCCTTCTTCTGGAATGCCTCCTGAAGGACCTGCCTGAGGCTGTTTTATATGTAATTATTTTTTTTTAGGAGTAGGAGGAGTACACTCTAACGATAAAAAGTATAGTAAATACGTAACAGGTAACAATTATTTATTATCATTGTCAGGTATTATGTACTGTACATAATTGTATGTGCTGTACTTTTATGTGACTAGCAGAAGGTTTGTTTCTGCCAGCATGAGCACAAACACTTGAGTCATGCGTTACAGTGTGATGTTCCAACAGCTCCAAAGTCACTAGGTGACAGGAATGTTTTAGCTCCGTTATAATCTCATGGGACTACCACTGTAAATGAAATCTGTCGTTGCCTGAGACTTTATTATGCAGTGCAGGACTGTATTTTAAACTGAGATAAAGGCAGGGTAGAATGGGGAAAAGTTATTTGAGTCAGGAGATATGTGAGCCAGATTTTTTCTGTGGTTCTGCTGCTGAGGAGCTTTTTAACTGGGCAGGAAGCATGTCTTTGGTTTCCTCATTTGTAACTTGAGGAGCTTAAAACAAATGCTCTGCACATTGACTATACTTATTTTCAAGAGAATGTTTCCAAATGAGCAGTAAAACACACACATACCCCCCATTCAGGTAGTCTCTGAACTATAAATCTTATCTAAAAATTATTTATACTATTACAGAAACTTTAAATAATTTAATGTTCTTGTCGAAGTCATCGTGTCTTTGTTTTAGGGACTCACATATAAACAAGCATCAGATTATGGAATCAATCATGCACAGCTCCCGCTTGGAAATTTTGTGAAGATGAATAGTCGAAAAGTTTTGGCAGTTAATCATGGTAAGCTATAAGGGATAAACTGAAAATACACCTGAGCGAACATTGTGAGAAAGAATATTGCATTTAGTATTTGAACAGGTAGAAAGTATTACACTTTCCTGGAGACAAAATTGTAAAACGTAATCATTTATAATTTGTTTAAGTAACAGAATGCATATTAGAAAATTTTGAAAATGTACGAAAGTGTTAAAAAATTAGCTATGTCTTACTGCACAGAAATACTTGGTGTTAACTTTTTGGTGTTGACTTCTAGTTCTTTTCCTATGTATATATATTATTATTTATTACATAATTGGATTTTTAGTATATTATGTACAATGTTATAAATCTGGGATATTTTCTCTCCTTTATGACTTTATTTTTTCATGTCATTGAATGATTGTTAATGGTAGCCAGGCACAGTGGCTCACGCCTGTAATCCTAATCCTAGCACTTTGGGAGACCGAGGCAGGCAGATCGCTTAAGCCCAGGAGTTTGAAAACAGCCTGGGCAATGTGAGGAAACTTCATCTCTACAAAAAATACAAAAATTAGCTGGGCGTGATGGTGGGTACTTGTAGTCCTAGCTATTCAGGAGGACAACATGGGAGGATCACCTGAGCTCAGGAGGTGGAGGCTGCAGTGAGCCATGATTGTGCCACTGCACTCCAATTTGGGTGACAGAGTGAGACCTTGTCTCAAATAAATTAATTAATTTAAAAACTTGTTGTTAATAGCTATGTAATAGTCCATCATTTGAATATACAATAATTTAACCATTCTGCTATGGTTGAATTGTGTTTTTTTCTTTTTGCTGTTGCAAATAACATATCCATTCTTGTACCTGTCTTTGCCTTGACTTTGCTTTAAAAAAAATTTTAAGCCGAGTTTTTAGTCAATACACAACTACTTATTAAACTTCTTATACACTAAATACTTCCTATATAGCAGGTTCCAGGGAGTTATAAAAATGAAATTATTGATTCAACAAATGAATTGCCTCTAAAACCTTTGATACATAGTGGAAATTACTTTTTCCACAAAGTAATTCAGGTTTGCCCTTCAGCAGTATGCTGATGTGAGTAGCCTGGAGACAATATTGATACTGTTTACTACAACCAATGGGAAAAGAAAAACAAAATAAAAAAAGCAGGCAAGGAGCTCCTAGCATGAGTGGCTCTTTACAGGAAACATGAAGAAAGTTAAATGAATGCTAACTAGGTTGTTAGCATGTAAAGGATAAAGACGTGAAGGGCTAAAAAAGAGTAGGAGATAAACTGAAAAGGTCTTTATTGATTATAATTGACATGGGATACTGGTAAATTTCTGAGTGCTTAAGAACTGAACTGAGAAAAAGCTAGATAAGAGGTAACAGGCTTGAGTACCTTGGGGCAAATTGGGCTTGACAGACAATAGAAAGAAGAGATAAGAACAAAGTAGTTATTAGGAAAAACTAGCACTCTTAACACAAAGACAATGTATTTTAAAAGACATTGTGCAGCATTGTGATGAACTTGGCTAAGAAATGTATGGAGTTTGTCTTTATTGCAGTGTTTGAGATTATTCTGGAATACCTGGAAACAAGAGACTGGCAAGAAGCATTTTTTACTATCTTGCCCCAGCGGAAAGGAGCTGTTCCCACAGACAAAACCTGTGAAAGTGCTTCTCATGACAGTCAGTCTGTCAGGATGGAGGAGTGTGGATCGGACAGTGATTCCAGTGAGGAGGAAGATAGCAGAAATGAACTAGATTCACCACGTGAAGAAAAGCAGGATAAGGAAAATCACACTGAATCTACAGGGAACTCTCTGCCACACTAATGTTACCTGGTTTCCTTTTAGTTTAAGGAAAAATTAGGAGAAAGCGAGGTGCTGTATAGAATATTGAAATTGGAAGAACATTTTATTTTCTGTTATTTCTGTTGTGAATTTTAAAAACTTTTTTTTGGACCTAAATAATAATAAAAAAGCCCTTTAAACTTTGTAAGAAAATATTTTTGATTTAGAATAAGAAGATTTAAATGTGTATTTTTTTTTGTTTCTTTTTAAAGCCTCAAATAGTGGTTTCTAGATAATTTTACTTCATTAATATATTTTCATATTCTTTAGAATGTGCCTTCTGACCTTTCAGTTTTTTAATTTTATAGTCACATCAACATCTTTATGATCTATTGCCTATGTATCTGTGAGGGCACATATTCATAAATATACTGTCAATCTATCAGAATGTTGTATATGGTAGGTTACCCTCTCTTTGTAGCTTTTATGTTTAACTTAGTTACTTGAAAGAAATTTAGTAATTTTAGGAAGAAGTATTAGTTTGATAGACTTAGTTCATTTCTTTTGGACTATGGAGCGCATATCTGTTCCTTCTTTGTGATGCCTTTTTATGGTTCTGAAGTAATTACTGAAGAGTTGAGAATCTCTTTAATGCATTTTCTTAATTCTTACAATGGTGATAAGTTACTTCAATTATAAAATTGAATTTTGCAGACTAAATTATTTTGTAAGGCTGTTGCTGTTGAAAGATCAATTTTGTCTTTACCTGCATTTAAAATGGAACAGTTTTTAGCAGCTGTGGGGTTTTTTTCCATATATATTTTTAATTTGTTGGCTCTTAAAATGAATAAAGTTTATATGTGCTTCTGCCTCCTCTCCTATAAGAATATGCATACTAATGTATGTTTCTATAAATCAAATACACATGTGAAAATATGCATGTAAATATATATTTACATCTGTCCTCATCATGTATGGTTCTCAGTTATTAGTTGTTGATAACATGATTGATATGCCATATATCTGTATTACTTGAATAATACTGAAATACTTTATTATTCTGTAATACTGAATACTTATTTTATTACTTGAATGGTTGTGTTGAACACTCTAAGAACAATTTGAATTTTATTCAGTACAAAAATCCTTAACTAAACATTTTTATGGGAATGTTGGCAAGAAATAATAGTGTAAAAGGGAGCTGTTTTAGTTTCCTATCAGTAATTGTATATGCAGTTAACTGTTTAAGGTAAAATGGTCTCTGTCACAGCTAAAAGATTTCAGTAGCCTTCATTGAGTTTGGGTAAAATGAGTTGCTGTTCTTTTGTCTTCTTTTTAATATATAAAAGTTGTATTTTAAAAATGTGTAATATACTGTATATGTTACTAACATATATACACAGAAAGTTTATTGGATTTAGTACTGATATTTACTGTCTATTTTTGTTACTTTGTTCTTAGTAATCTATTATAGTTACTATTTTAAGGTGAGGTCTATAGGCAAGATATGTAAGTAAAGACAAGCCCTACAATTTTAAAATAACAAAGCTTATGTCTTAAGTTGTATTTTTTCAAAGGTTCTTGTTTTTCTGAGTAAAAAAAATGTGGTTTATTAGCATGAAATATTATGCCTTTTACTTAAATTATGTAATGTAAAATAGGGCACTGTTTAATTATGAAAGGTGGGGGAAAATCATTCCAAATAAAAGTTTAATTTTTATTAATTATAAAAAACCCTGTATTAGTTTCCTAGATGTGCTATAACAAATTACCACAAAGTGGGTGGCTTTAAACAACAGAAATTTATTGTCTTAACAGTTCCAGAAACTAAATGTCTAGACTCACAATGTCCCAGTGCCATGCTTCCTCCGTAGGCCCTAGGAAAGAATACTTCCTAACCTCTTCCTGGCTTTTGGTGGTTGTCACAGCAACCCCTGCTGCTCCTTAGCCTACAGTGGCTTGACTCCAATCTCAGTTTTTGTTGTCAAGTGGTCTTCTACCCTGTCTTCTATGTTTGTATCCGTGTCCTAACTCTTTTTCTAGGGAGACCAGCATTGGATTAGAGTTCACCATGATCCAGTATGACCTCATCTTGACTACATCTGCAAAGATACTGTCTCCAAATAAGGTCACATTTACAGGGTGCCATGTGTTAGGATTTGACATATCTTTTGGGGGACACAATTCTACCCACTACAGGCCCATATCTTATCTAGGATGTTCGTGGCAAGAAGGCGAAAAGAAGGCAAAGATTACTACCTCTTTTGATATAACTAGTTTCTGAGGTATTTAAAATTTTGGTTTTAAAAATATTAAGCTTTTTGCTCATTTTAATGTATCCTTTTCTCTCAACATTGTTTTGGTTTATTTAGGTTATTTGTTAAAACTTAAGTAAATATTAAAGTTACTTGTGTTAGAACATAATAAAGGGAGAGAATTAAACTACCTAAATAAATGCATCAAAAAATATGTCTGTGGACATATAGAATTTCCTCACATTTAATTTCTTTAATGACCTACAGTCATCATAAAGCAAGCTCATTCTTAAGAGAAGAACCATGCTTCATTCTAATTCTCCAGAGATTGGTGCTGTTGACATTATAGCATTTGAAAATGCTCAGAATGGAAAAACCAAAAACGAGAAAAGAAAGTAATTCTACTGAATAAACATCTTTTGGGAGGTGAATGAACAATGATGAAATCCACCAGTGACTGGCAATTATAAAGCAAAGGGACATACTATTTCACTTTATAGACAGAAAAGGTCACAGAAATGATGTAGATAAAAGGCAAGAATTGTCTATAGAGCCCTGAGAAAGTATACAGACAACAGGTGTAAAATGAGATAAAGAAAAAAAGAAAAGAGAATGGCAGGGATTCAAATTAAGGGCAGTAAAGGCATATAGTAGTCATTAAACTTTGATTTCAGTTAGCATGCAGGTATTTATCTCTGTTTCCCTGTCTCATTACCAGACAAATACAGTAGTCATCTAATAAATGTGAAGAAGAGAAGCAGTGACAGAATCAAAAAGTGGTACATGGAGAGAATCAGTGGAAACAGTAGGGAATTGGACTAAGCATAAATCTTGCCACTGCCACTGTTGTGAGACTTTGGATGAGTTATTCAACCTTTGCTAGGTCTCAGTGTTTTTATATGTAAAATGGAAATATTACTCCATTTACTCTCTCTCTTAGGGCTTGAGCAAACAATTGTCAAGCAGTAGCTAACAATTCTATTGGCTTTCTCATTTCTTGCCTCATTTCCCTTGTTTCTCAGTCTTTTTGACATTGCCTGCCCTAAAATGGTAATAACATATAGGCTTTTGTTTCAGGCTACACTTTCTGAGGAACCCAGGCTTAGATAAGATTTTTAAAGTGTAAACTTTCTAAGTTACCAAATGAACACTCACTAAACAAAACAAGGAAATTACAGATCATTTAGTGAAACATTTATAAAAGCAACAAAAACAATGCTAACATAAAACACAATCACACGACAAAATCTGTATGTCCTATCAGCAAATTTAAATGATCCAAAAACCTCCCAGATTGGATTTAAAAAAGAAATACATGCTGTATTTAAAGCTACTCAGCAATATTGAAAATAAAAAATAGAAAAAGACATACCAGGCTATAAAATGAAGTCAGAAGTCACAATGTTAACATTGGATAAGGTCCAACACATTACAAATAAAGAAAAGGAGAAGGGCATGTTACAATAGTCAAGAATGCAGTCCTTAATAAAGATCTAACCATTATGAATATCTGTGTATCAGGTAACAGTATTTGAAGTCATTGAGAGCCTTTGGGAATTAAATGAAACAATACATCAGTATAAGGAGTTTTTAACTCATATTTCTCAACCTATGACAATGTAAGTAGACAAAAGATCAATATGTGGAAAATGTACATGCTATAATTAATACAGATAGTAATATCAAATTTTGTAGGCTGAAAAAACAATAATACAACTCATATTCATAAAAGTAACTATATTAGACCACAAGGAAAATTTTCCAAAAGTAACAATATAGGCAACTTCTCTGATAACAATACATTAAACTGGAAAATAAACTTGGTAAGATGGGATGAAAGCCTCACTTTTAAAATTTTTTTCTCAAGAACTTATTATATAAAAGAGGAAACTAAATCTGAAATTATGTAATATTTTGAAAATAGAGATAATAAAAACAATACATATCAGATCTATAGATCTAGCTAAAGTTGTGATTAGAGGAAAATTCATCACTTTAAAATTTTATGCTAATAAATGAGAATGACTGAATATAAACATATTAAGAAGATTTGACTTAAGGCATTAGAACAATAATGAACCTAAAGAAATAAAAAGAAAAAATGGAACTTAATAAAAACTGAAAAGAGATACAAAATAGAAATAGGAAAATTATTGGACATATGAATAAATCCAAGATCCGTTGTGTTTTGAAAACTAGCAAAATGTGAAAGTAATTAGCTAACTGGATCAAGAAAAAAATTACAGATACATAAAAATGAGATTGTAGAATAAACAAATTTAGATGAATTATGAGGTAAAACTCAATTCTATGAAAATAAACTTGGAAACCTGGATGAAATGGATAATTTTCTGGGAAAACATGAAGTTCCCAAATTGATCCTCCTCTCCAAAAATACAGAAAATATAAATAGACCAGTTACCACAGAAGAAATAAAATTGTCAAAAAGCTACGACCCCCCAAAACACAAAACCTATGCGGTCTGATAGATGAATGTTAGCAAATTTTTAAGGAAAAAGAATTGGCAATGCCATTGTAACATCTTCATAACAGAAAAGTGAGAAAGAGTGCACTTCATTAATTTTATGAGTTGAGCATAATCTTGTTATGTGTCAGTAGCACCTAGTGCTTAAGCACACAGATTCTAGCCATACCTTGAGCCAGCCATGAAATTTTTGTGTCGGAGAAAGTTGATTGTCCACCAAAAGCTAATTTTTGTTAACATAGAACATAGCTGTAATTGGAATATGATTCCCACTCAAGAGTTTTTAATTAGTTTCCCTTTCAGTTATACTAATTCTCAACCATGTAATGTAACTATAAGTGATATTTACCATTTCAAGGCCAAGACTTTAAGCAGATATATCCTCCTTGTGGAAGGCATAATAATGTCCCTTTCAAAGATCCTAATTTCCAGAACCTTTGAATGTGTTAAGTTACATGGTAAGGGGGAATTTAAGGTTGAAGATAGAATTAAATTGCTAATCAGCTGACCTTAAATGAAGGAGATTATCTTGGATAAGCTGGATAACAGACCCGATGCAATCACAAAGGTCCAAAAGTGGAAGATGGAGGCAGAATCAGCATCAGAGTGATTTGTTATGAGAACAACTTGACTGACCATTGCTGACCTTGAAGATGAAAGAGAGCCATGAAGCAAGGAGTGTAGATAGCCTCCAGAAAATGGAACAGGTAAGGAAACAAATAGTTCCCTAGAGCCTAGGAAAGGCATGCAGTCCTGCCACACCTTGGTTTTAGGCCAGTAAGACCCGTTTCAGACCTCTGCCTACAGAATTGTGACAGAATACATTTGTGTTGCATTAAGTCACAAAGTTTGTGGTAATTTGTTACATCAGCAATAGGAAACTAATACTTTACTCTGATTTTTTCTTTTCCAGCATGGTATAGTTGACAATGGAGCTTTAGGTGATGGTTGAGCCACAAGGTAGAAGGATTCTGGGCCTCTAAATCACCAGGTAAAGCAAAATCATCTTTGAAACATAAACTTTAGACTCTCATGTGGGAAATAATTGTATTTGAATGATAGCATTTGTTACAACTTATCCCATCACAATGAGTTCAAATCTGTGCCTCAGCTTTCTTATTTTAAATAATGAGAAAAGTAAGTAGTTACCTCAAATAGTTTTTGTGAAAATTAAGTTATTATATCTAAAGTGTTTAGAATGATTCCTGACACATAGTATGTTATCATTAAAATTTAATGTATACATAGACATGCATGCACATACACATACCACACACTGAATTTATAGTATCTCTGATGAACATCAGTGTGAACATTCTAAATAAAGGATTGACTTATTGGTAGATAGACTGCAGCAACATGCTCAAAGAATCATATCTGTGGCCCAAGAGTGGTTTCTTTTAAAAATACAAAAAATTCAATATGAAATGTTAATATCCACCATTAGTACTGACTGAAAACTAGTTTCTTTCTAGCTCATGAGTTAGAAACAATTTGTGTATGTGTTCTTTTTGGAGGAGAGGGGAGCATTTTTTCATAATAGTTCAACAACAATGAGACACCAGATGATAAAAATCATCTCACATGTTAAAATTCTGTTGTTGGGTTTTTGTTTTTTGTTTGTTTGTTTGTTTTTGTGGTGATGGTGGTGTTTTGTTTTTTGTTTTTTGTGTTTTGTTCCCCCTAACAGAGTTTGGGGTAGATGTCAAACTGTAACTGCCTAATTCTGATTATGGATGATTTTTCTAGTATCAGGGCTGTATGCTCATGTACTAATAGTGCAAGACTGGAAACATAGTATATAAATAAACATATTTCTTTTACACATAGGATTAACTACAAATGGAAATATCATTTCCAGTAATATTTATTTGTAGCATTACATACAGGTATTTTTAGATTTACATGTGCTACCATAAAGAGGACCACTTGATTCCTCAATACCAAAAATATACATTTGAAAAATAATTCGATGATGTAAATGGTAAGCTCGTATTCATGAAAGAATTCACCCAGTCTAGAACTTCTACCTTCGGTATGTTGAAGGATAACATGCTCTTTGGGGACAGAGGTTGTATTCTTGTATACTCCTTGCTGACACTGGTTTTACTGATCCACTTTCCTGAGTGTTAGGCCTGGGAGGAGACTTTGGTTTGCTGAAATATTCTGCAACAGGTATTTTCATATTATTTCTTCTTATAAATGATGGAGGCTTGTTCTCAGCCTCTGAAATAGAGAAAAAATCTAAATAAGACCACAATCGAGACACTGAATACAGCTTCTCCATGTTTTAGTAGTATATTATCTACAAAAAACTATGTGAAGTTTAGGTGAATCAGATACACCCAAAACTCATAAAATAACATATTCCTTTTCTTTCTTTTTTTTTTTTTTAACCACTTGCTCATCTTTAATGAGTTATTTGTTCTGTAACATGCAGGATATGTTCCTTCACTCTCAAAAGTAAACATGATTTTGATTGCAATGATATAGAGTTGGTTATGGGTAAGAGTGATGGGTGAGAATGGGACAATGAGAGAAAGAAGGAAGATCTATGGTCCTGATAGATGCAACAAAAGAAGAGAAAAGCAGGCTAAAACAAGTTAATTGTGCTCATAAGACCTACATAGTTGCACCCAAGCAGGAATAGGGATGTAAGGAGATGCTGAATATCAACAATGGAGAGAAAGGGGCATGACTGGGGAATTCTTATACAAAAAGGTTCCAAA